AAATAGGCATCGTCGCGCACCCTTCTCACCCCTCCCCACCGTGTCTCTCCTCAGACACATCACGCGCGCACCCTGTCAATCACCACCAAACCACCACCTCTCCTGACAGCTTAGCGCAAAATAAACCCTGACACTCTGACCAATGTGAGGAGAGTTTACTCGCACGTGACATGTTTTAGCTCTTTTGGTCCGATTAGAAACTTTGCAGTGTGAAAGCGAACCGCTCCAAGAGCAAAGAGCAACAATGTAACATTTGTAATCTCTGTTTCGGAACAACTGAATCGATTCACAGGTGTGAAAGCACCCTAAGAATACTGCTAATTTATGTTTTTATTTAGTTTATACATACGCAATGAATGTAAGCCTGCCAACTGTGTGTGGTTCAAATGATAGAATATGTAAACTTAGTTTATATATAGGCTAATTAATAATAAATAAAAGCCTGCGTGTAAGGCTTTTATTTTGAGGGCGAACATAAAAATGGGCGTTTCAGCACCGTCTACATGTGTAAAATTAATTTTAAAGTCGTTTATCCGTTTTCCTACCCTAAACCAAAAAAATGAAAATCCAGCCATAATTTCGTTTTTTCGTTTTCTCGTGAGCAAAAGAAAATGGGAAAACGGCCGTTTTCTCCATTTCCTTTATTCCGTTTGAAAATGGAAAACAAATGAACAAAACGTACACGGACCATACACTGACCGTTTTTGTTTTCTGGTGATTTTATTTTTTGCTATTCAAAATAAAAAATCTAATCATTTTTGAATTTTGTTTTTTCGTTTTTCACCACGAAAAAGAAAAATGAGCCGTTTTTTCATTTTCGTTTTAAAAACGCCAGAAGGTTATGAGTAGGCCCACATAAAATCTGTGTGCACAGAAATCCGCAGAATTTTAGCCCATCATTGAGTCTATTTATTTACTTGTATAAATGTGTGTACATTTATTTATTTTTTCAGTTTTTTAAATTAATTTCAGTAATATTATTAACTAATATGAAAATGTTTATTTAATTTATCTACAATACAGTGTGTAAAGTAATATTTTCTGTCTTTTAGTAGAGATATTATAGAAGAGACTTGCTTTGTTTACCAAACAAGTGGATCTAGATAGATTTGCTTTGTAAAAAGCTTTTAATTAAGATACTCCCAAAATAAAACCACATAAATGCGCAGTTTTTATTTATTTATTTATTTTTTATACTAAATTCTCAGAAGAAATAGCAAAAAAGGTCAAGATTCTGTTTGGCCCTAGTTATGAGGTAAAATCTGAAAGAAAAGAGAAACCGGTGTGTAAATTAGAAATAATCACTTCATGGACTCAAGCAGTCAGGCAGGAACTAAAAGATAAACTTACGTAAAGTACGCCAGCACCTTTACTGAACAAATTCCAGTTTGTGCATTAAAAAAGGTTGGCTATAAGAGATTCTATGATGATGAAAATGTGTGTGAATGCACAAACCAGCAGGCTGAGCACGTCTAAAATGTTGTTTTGGTCATTCTAAAACACCTGGGGCCTGTTTCAGAAAGGAGGTTAAGTGAAAACTCAGAGTATTTTAACCCTGAAATGAGAGAAACTCTGGGTTTTCCGTTTCAAAATGGCAGGTTTGTTAAACTCGAGCAAGCAGGGTAAGTCAAGCCTGTTTCTGAAAGAGAGGTAACTTTAACTCAGAGTCAGTTACTGTGGTAACTTACTCTGTGAACCTAACCTGGTCAGAAACAGGTTTTATCCTCTAAACTCAGAGTTTCTGTTGGTCTCCTCCCCTTTTTTTAAAAACGAAGCGGTAATTCTAATTCTCTAAAACACTTTTATTGAACAAATTACTGTATGTACATTAAAAAAGGTCATCATTTGATGATGAAAATGTGTGTGAATGGACAAACCAGCAGGGTGAGCACACTGTAACACGTCTTAAATGTTGTTTTAGTCATTTTAAAATGCCTTAACTGATTCAGTATTAGTATATATTATTAATTACCTCCAAGCATCTGAAGCGTGTCAAGAGTCTCTGCGTCTCATGGCTTCAAACGCCCCCACGTGTTCACTGTATGTCAGCATTGTCTTCTGAGGCGCAAGTACTTTTATTAAATAAAGAAATAAGTGACGCAGCTTCTTTTACCACAGTAAATTCTGTTTTAACTGTTGACATTTGGGATTTTGTTCTCTTTGACTCGTTGGATGGAAACGCTGCTTTATTAGCATTTTTTTTTACAATATTCCAGTTTGCACATAAATTTGTGTAATATATTTGGATGAAAACATAGACATTGCCTACCTTTTAGTCACACACAGAACAATAAATAATTATCTTAAATTCACTGACCTTCGACATGTACTATATATATATGTACTATATCAACCTCTTTCACTTGATCAGTAAAAAGGCAGACACAAGTGCACTGTTAAATCTATTAAAACTGATAAACGTGTATAAAAGTTTAGAAAAAAATTATAAACATCACACATTACATTACTTATTTTACTATACTTAAATATTTAAATATTTTAAATGTAAAATTTCGCATTTACCTGAGCAGGTGTTTTCCCAGGCTAACTGTCTCTGTTTCACTGATGGTTGCTTCTTTTTAAATAAATATGCTCATATTTGCTATAACTTTGCATGAGTACATCAAATTCAGCTGGAGAAAGAAATGGTGATCTCTTTTTTTTTAAATGTTGCCTTGGTCACTCGTAATATCTGCGCTCCATTAATAATGCCTTTTTATAGTCACGGTGTGCGCGCTTAACTCTGAGTTGGTCTACTCAAAGTTGATTGACCTAACTCAGATCAGCTGTTCTGAAACCGAAAACTCTAGAGTTTTTAATCTCTCGGTAAATCAACTCAGAGTTCTAGTTTAAACTCCGAGTTGTTTGAACCTCCTTACTGAAACAGGCCCCTGAACCATTTCAGTATTCATGTCATTATATTATTAATGATCTCCAGAGCGTCTTGAGTGTGTCAAGAGTGTCTGTTCTCTGCATCTCATGGCTTCAAACGCCACCACATGTTCATTGTCCTCTGAGGGGAAAGTCATTTATTAAATAAGCAAAAGATTCATGTAACTATTTCTACCGTAATAAATTCTGTTTTTACTGTTGATACTTGGAACCAGTTAATCAGGAAGTGACGATTTTGTTCTCTTTGATTCATTGGATGGAAACGCTGATTTATTTGTGTATTTTTCATACAATATTCCAGTTTTGCAAATAAATTTAGTTCTCATTTTTGGATGGAAACACAGCTATTACCAACATTTCAGTCTCACAAAGAACAGTACGTCACGTATGCGAATGGCTTGGCCTTTAATGAATAATTAGCTTAAAATTACAGACCTTCGACAGGGACATGTACTGTATCTATGAAAGCCCGCTCACATTCTTCGGTCCATGGAATCGGATTCTTTATGGCTTTAAAGAGAGGTTATCAGTATCAGGTAGACTGGAAAGGTTATGGTCCACAGGAAAGATGTTGGATTCCGGCTCTGGATATTCTGGACCGCTCTCTCATTGATCAGTTTCATTAGTTCCATAGTGAGTCTTAAGGGAATGCCAGGGGCCGTTCTTGAGAGAGGGGGTACTGTCACCGTACCTCACACTTTTGCTCTCTTCTCCTGTTCTGGGTTACAGATTATCTCATGTCATCTGCTTTTATTTGCAGTCACAGAAGCTCTCGTTTCCCTTTTTTCCTGTTTATACCACATCATTCCCTTCATGTTTGTCAGTATGTTATTGATAATTTGTGTGCATATTATTTTGTTACTCACCCTGTATTTGTGTCCAGGACCGCTAGTGAGTGAGTGTCTGGTTGTTTTTTCCCATGAAACTTTATCAGCGCTCACCCGACCGGGTGTTTACTTTGATTTTTGCTTTTTCCGGTTCTCACTCCTTAATAAACCCTTGTTGTTTTTCTGCATTTGATTCAGTTTTTTTTTTTTTTTTTTTTTTTACTTGTGACACAAGAATTTTTTTTCTCATTTGTGTTTACATGTCTTTAGATTTTGGCATGATGTCTAGCTTTTGAGGCTCTTTTGGTCTACTTCAGACAGGTCCTATTTAGGTAATTTCTTGATTGAGAACGTGTGGTAGTAATCAGGTCTGGGTGTGGCTAGAGAACTTGAACCCGGTGTGATAAATAAAGTTATGTTTAATGGGGAAAAACATTTTCACACAAGTCTGTGTAGTTCAGTGTTTTGTCTTCCTTTTAAGAATAAAATTCTTCATTTAAAAACTGCACAATGCATTTAGTTATGTTATCTTTGTCTAATATTTACATTTGTTTGATGATCTGGAACAGTTAAGTGTTAGTATTCTGCATTGCATTCGTTACATGCAGATTACTAAACCAGAGAACATTTGTCATCTAAAGGTGCAGGTTTAAGGCTTTATGCAGATGTTATGCAGATATGTCTCATGTCTGTGGGGCAAATATTCTCAGAGATTCAGCTGCTTTTTTTTCTGACAGGTTTACCAGTCAGGCACAGAATGAAAAAGCATTCATTATCTGCTTTACAAGTTTTTCAAAAACATGTTTTGTGTCATTACGAATATATACAAATAGAAACTGGCCATTTACAGCTTTCAAATTTATGTCTCATCAATATGACCAAAATGCTCTGGGATTAATCATATAAGTATCCGCTTAAATGTGTTTGTGTGTAATGGACACTAGGAGGTTAATATGACATGATCAATCTAAATATGATCTGCTGTTTTTACATTTAATGTGCATCAAAATAAAGTTTTCACTTCCTTTTTACTAAGAGTTTTAATGATTTACTAAAAGCTGAACTTTTTTTTATTATTTCAGATCTAGTTAAAGAGTATGAGAGGAGTAAAGAGGAGGAACATCATGTCAAAATTGAAGACAAAACTCATTTAGAGACTGATGATATTTTAAAAATGAGAGACAAGCGTTGTTTTACCTGCAATCAGTGTGGGAAGAGTTTGGCAAACAAAAGCAAACTAAAGATCCACATGAGGATCCACAATAGGGTGAAACTATTCACATGCACCCAGTGTGGGAAGAGTTTCAGCAACTCAGCAAACCTTAATCAACACATGAGGATTCACACTGGAGAGAAACCATTCACATGTACTCAGTGTGGGAAGAGTTTCAGCCAATCATCAAACCTTAACCTACACATGAGGATCCACACTGGAGAGAAACCATTCACATGCAGTCAGTGTGGGAAGAGTTTCAGCCAATCATCATCCCTTAATCTACACATGAGGATCCACACTGGAGAGAAACCATTCACATGTACTCAGTGTGGGAAGAGTTTCAGCCAATCATCAATCCTTAATATACACATGAGGAACCACACTGGAGAGAAACCATTCACATGCCTTCAGTGTGGGAAGAGTTTTAGCCAATCAACATACCTTAATCAACACATGAGGATCCACACTGGGGAGAACCTATTCACATGCACCCAGTGTGGGAAGAGTTTCAGCAACTCAGCAAACCTTAATCTACACATGAGGATTCACACTGGAGAGAAACCATTCACATGTACTCAGTGTGGGAAGAGTTTCAGCCAATCATCAAACCTTAATATACACATGAGGATTCACACTGGAGAGAAACCATTCACATGCAGTCAGTGTGGGAAGAGTTTCAGCCAATCACCATACCTTAATCATCACATGAGGATCCACACTGGAGAGAAACCATTCACATGCAGTCAGTGTGGGAAGAGTTTCAGCAAATCATCAAACCTTAATATACACATGAGGATCCACACTGGAGAGAAACCATTCACATGTACTCAGTGTGGTACGAGTTTCAGCCAATCATCAAACCTTAATATACACATGAGGAACCACACTGGAGAGAAACCATTCACATGCCTTCAGTGTGGGAAGAGCTTTAGCCGATCAACATCCCTTAATCGACACATGATGATCCACACTGGAGAGAAAGAGTTTATGTGCTTGAAGTGTGAGAATACTTTTATTACAGCTGCAGAATTGAAACGCCACCAGAGGGTTCACACTGGAGAAAAACCGTACAAGTGTTCACAGTGCAGTAAGAGGTTTGCTCGCTCAGGAACCCTGAAAACACATGAGAGGATTCACACTGGAGAGAAACTGTAGACATGATCAGTGTGTACAAAGTTTCACTTAATCAGGGCAGCTTAAGAATCACATGGGATGGTTTTTGGTAAGGCGCCGACACATGTAGCAGCATAGAAAGAGCGCTTCCATACACACTGGTATTAATCCTCCTTTTTACATCATATATAATAACCTAAACCATATTTAAATGACATGGAGGAGGGACAAAAACAAAAAGGCTAGGACAAAACAACCAGTTAATCCTGAAAAAAATGAGAAATCAACAGATGAAAAATCCAAGACGGACGGGATAGCTGATAGCCTGTCACCTATCATTGCAGCAATATTTACAGACATCAAAGTTTTCCAGAAGAATATTAAATCTGATTTAACCGCCTTCCAAGATTCTCTCGCAAAAGATGTGAAAATGGAATTAAGTAACTGTAAACAAGAAGTCAATCAACAACTGGATGACCTTATCACGGACCTAAATGCAACGACAGAAAAGGTCAACGAAGTGGAGAAGCGAGTTGGAGAATTTTGGAGGAGAACATTGCTGAGATGAAAGAAATGCTCAATCAATCCATTCAAATACAAGAAAATTTAAAAGAGAAACTGTGAGATCTAGAAACACGCTCCCGTAGAAATAATAATAAAATTTTTGGAATCCCGGAAGGAAGCATTCTGAATGAAAAGGGAATTAAGTTCTAAACACCACCGCCGGCAAAACTTAAAATCTTTTTGGTAAATGGGCCGATCATGTACAATTCAATGACGGAGGCATCAAGAGATCTGAAAGAAAAAGGACTGATAAACAGCGAATAAGGAACTATTATAGGAATCCCTGGGAAAGAGAAACAAAGACCTTGGCAAAAGGTTGGAGTGACATGGAAGAAAAGTAAGGAAAAACATCAAGCGAAGATCCGGGAAAAACTATGTGAATTTCAAAGGGACAACACTAGCTTTGTTTGAAAGGGTAAAACCTGACAGATCCTAACAAAAAACTCTAAGAGACTGGTAAATCTTCTTGACTTGATTCACCGATAATGGACCAAGGTTATAATAGTTTTGGATTTTTCATTAGTTTTAGTTTCTATTTCGTTTTGACTTTTTATTTTAATTTTTTTTATAATGTATTTATGAATTTTTAAGCAATACAGATACAACAACAAACAAGTGAACAGAACCTGGGGAGAAAGAAAAAAAAAGGGGGGGGGGGGGGGGGAGGGGTTGGGGGGCATTAATTAAAGTAGCGATATTGCATCCTTGTTAAATCAATCCTCTGATGATTATGGAGGTTATGTTTAAACCCATATGTAACAAAAATGGATCCCACCTCTCATGAAATAAAACATCTTTGCCATGTAGGACACAAGTTAAGTAGTCCAGTGGTACATATTCAAGTATTACCCTGTGCCATAAAGACTTTGTAGGAGTTTTGTCCGTTATCCAGTTCAGGAGAATACATTTTCTTGCACAAAATGTCAGGAACTTGCAAAGTGTTTTTTTATGCTTGTCCATATTAATCTCGTCGAATATCCCAAGCAGCATATGCTTGGGGTCACAACCAATATTAAAAGATAAAATTCCACTAATTTCTTGTTCAATCATGGCCCAGAACTTTTGAATTTCCCTGCAAAGCCAGAAACAATGAACCAGGTCTCCTTCCTCGGTTTTACATTTCAGACACATTGGTGACAACTCCTCTTTAAACTTGTGCCTCCGTGAGGGAGAGATGTGAGCTCGATGTAGAATTTTCAGTTGCATTGCTTTTACTCTGTTACATACACTTAGGGACATTGCATTTTTCCAAGCTTCCTTCCATTGATCATCTGTGATTTGTGTATCAAGGGTCCTTTCCCAAGTCTCTTTCAAGAAGCCCGTATTTAAAGAGCCACAATCCTTCAGGACTTTGTAGAAACAGCTTGTGGAATTGTCCCTGTATGAAAAAAGTTGTCAACTGAAATGTCCTGATTTTCAGACAGTCATTTTCGAGTACTGTAGTGTCTTTTTTCACAAAGTCTCTTAGTTGCAAGTAGCGGTAAAAATCTTGTCGCGGAATATTATATTTATTGGTCAGTTGGTCAAAAGACATTAAAATATTTCCATCAAACAAGTCATGTAATGTGGTGAGACCTTTTTGTGACCAGACTTTAAATTGTGGGTCTTCAGTTCCTGGCAGAAAGTCAAAATTATCACAGATGGGGTAAAGGTTGAGGTGAGTAGAGATCTCCCTTCAAAACGTTTTATAGATTGCCATGCTTTGATAGTACAAACCGTGATGGGATTATTGCAGGCAATTTTCACTGATTTAAGCTTTTTTTTAAAAAAAGCAAATTTCTGAGAGGATTTTACAGAGTGAACTTTCAATGTCAAACCAAACTGCACTGGGTCCTTTATGTATACAGTCAGAAATAAAGTGCAAATGTACGCTTAATTGGTATTTTCGAATGTCTGGAAGGTCAAGACCACCTGCCAAGGATGAAAGCATTAAAGTTGAAATTTTTATACATGCTCTTTTGTTTGCCCAGATAAAAGAATTAAACCAGCCATTCAGTTTCCTAATGATTTTGTGTGTAAAATTGATCGGAATCATTTGAATAGGGTAGAGTATTCGCGGTAGAATATTCATCTTCAGAAGGGAGATCCGACCCATCCAAGAAATAGGGAGAATATTCCATCCTCTAGGTCCATTCGAATGCGTTCAAAAAGTGGATTAAAATTGGCTTTATAAATTTGTTCATAGGAGGGGGTGACATTGATGCCCAAATATGTTAAACCTTCTGGGGCCCACCTAAATGGAAATGATGGTAGTGTTTGGGGTATTTGTTGTAAACTTCCTATAGGCATTGCCACTGATTTATGGTAGTTAATTTTATAACCAGAAAAATCTGCAAACCTGTCAATCGTGTCTAAGAGATTTGGGGTAGAGGTTTCAGGATTTACCATGAATATAAGAATGTCGTCGGCATATAGAGCAATCTTTTGTGGTTTGTTTGCTACCATAAAACCATTAATTTTATTATTTTCCCGTACTGCTTCTGCTAATGGCTCTATTATTAAGGCAAACAGAAGGGGTGAGAGAGGGCAACCTTGCCTTGTTCCTTTCTCAATTTTGAACATAGAGGATCTACAGCCATTAGTAAGTACAGCACTAAAAGGCTAATTATACAAAGACCAAATCTATGTAACGTATGGAATAAAAAGGGTCATTCGATGCGATCAAACGCCTTTTCCGCATCTAATGAGATCACAAGACCTACTGATTGTTGTTTAGCAAATTGAATCACATTCAAAAGACGTCGCATGTTATTTACCGAGTTACGGCCTACAATAAAGCCGGTTTGGTCATCCTTTACTAATATAGGAAGAAAGCCTTTAAGGCGGGTGGCCAAAATTTTTGAAAGGATCTTCAGATCTACATTTAGCAGTGATATGGGGTGATATGACGAACAGTACTTTGGTTGTTTTCCTTTTTTCAAAATTAAGGATATATTTGCCTCTCTCAGTGACTGTGGTAGGCGGCCTTTTCAGAAAGAGTCATTAAACATATTTAATAATGGATCCACTTATAAGTCTTTGAATTCCTTATAGAATTCACAACTAAGTCCATCTGGACTAGGTGCTTTCCCAGATTGTAAACTCTTTATTGCTGCTAGAACCTCATTTTTAGATATAGGGGCATTAAGGGGTAATAACTGATCTTCAGATAACGTGGGGAGATTAAGTGTCGAGAAGAAAAGCTCTGTGGTTTGTGTTGTGTCCCCATTTAGTTCTGATTTGTAGAAATTCTCAAAATAATCTTTAAATGTATTATTAATGAATATGCTGTCCATAGAGTGTTTACCGTTACTGTCTATAATAGATTGTATAGATTGAGAGTCGGATTTTTTCTTTGTTAGGTGTGCTAAATATTTCCTAGCTTTATCCCCATGTTCATACATTTTCTGCTTAGCAAAGTGAATTTTCACTTCTGCCTGTTTTGTTAAAAGAGAGTCTAACGCAGACCTTAGCGCCGTAATTTCCTTTAGTTTAACAGGGCTTGGTTTATTAATGTATGTTCTCTCAGCATCCCTAAGCTTAGACTCTAAAATCTCTTTTTGTTCCGCTTGTTTACGCCTTTTACTATGTGTGTACTCTATTATAATGCCTCTAGAAAATGCTTTGGTTGTTTCCCATAATAAGGATGAATCTTCAGTTGAGACCGAATTGATGGACATAAAAGTGTTGAATTCCTCTGTAAAATATGTAATAAAGTTATGATCAGCTAATATAAATGGATGAAATCTCCAACCACTGGCTTTATTATTTTGATTTCCAAAGGAAAATTCAGTGAAAACTGCCGCGTGGTCAGATATTATTATATCTCCGATTTTGCAAGATGTTATGTGCTCCAACATATTTTGGGAGAGAATAGATAGTCTATTCTCGTGTGACAACTATTAACTTTTGAAAAATAAGTGTACTCTCTCTCTGCAGGGTGGCAAGCCCTCCAAATATCTTCATAATCAAAGTCTTCACACAGGGCCTTAAGTGTTTTAGCCTGTACTGATAGTAACGGTTTCCCTGCTGGGAATTTATCAATAATAGGACATAAATGGCAGTTAATGTCACCCCCAGTGAATAATGTTTTAACTCCCCAGTCTGCTAATTTAAAAAGGCTTCAGTAAGAAAATTATTTGGGTGACCAGGAGGCCAATAAATATTCATGAAGGCAATTTCTTGAGAGGGTGCTCGCTGCAGAGCCATTTGAGGAGAGCTGAGCTCCAGCGAGGGGGAGCATGAGCTGTCGCTCCTCCTCCTGTAAGCTGTTTTAATGCGTACACCAACCCCACCCCTAACTCTACCCCCAGTGACATCACTCGTAGAAGAA